ACCTTTCTAGAAAGCTGTAGATGGGTTTGACAGAATATAGAACGTTGGGGGGCAAGAGAAATGAGCTTCGGATCAAATTTTGGAACCCTTAAATTAGGGCCTGAAGAGGAGAGGAGAGGCCGCCGGGGAAGAGAGCGAATGGAATTGGAGGTCAGCATCATCTCAATCTGAGTCTTCTGGTTACGCGAATGCTGCGAAGAATGAAAACCCCTAAATTTGAGAAAACAAGGACTGATCGGAATTGAAGCCATCTGTTTCTCGCATTCCTTTTATCTGCAACAAATTCCTATTACTTTCACAAGCACAAAACCCCCAACTACGGGTGAGCACGAGCCGGGTAAGGGCAGGTGATCTATAAGTATTTAAGAACCTACGGCTCCATGAAATGGGTAGGTCCAGGCCGGTTATAGAAATTCTCAAATATGAACTGTACCTTACACTCCCTGTTTGAAAGGAGTCATTCCAGTCCGGGGTTTCAATTATTTCCATTGCATTATTTTTAAAATTTCAACTATTAAGCTAATTTTACATATGTGGGAGTGTGGGACAAAAGATGAATGGATAAAAAATGACATAACATATTGAATAATACGATCAATCCTAAATCATATGTAATTGTGCATAGAGGACAAACAAGAATTAAAACAAATAATAAGTAAACTAAATAATGTGATCTCATTAAAACAAAGAATAAGTAAACTAAATAAACTAAATACATAGTAGATCATTTTGCACTTTTGCATATACTTGTACTTGAACATTATAATATATTACACTTTATGAATTTCAATTGTATTTAACTTAACATTGATCCAAAGCTTTTCAATTGTATCTATCTTAACATAATTGGTAAGAAGAGGAAATCTGAAATGCACAAGATCATAAATCAATAAAACCAGAAATGTTAAAGCTCATTAAACACAAAAACTGACATGCAAATTATTACCTGCCCCATTTGAAACGAGTCGGCTTGGTCTGGGTTTTCGGTTCTTTTTTCACAATTTCTAAAAGAATATCACAAGTCATAACCACATAACCTATACCCGCCCGTGTTTTACTATTGTTGATCCATAAGTGTGTAACCTTTACTTTCTGTAAATTTCTCTTTAAAGTCTTTGATACTAAGTTGAAACAAAAACAGAAGAAATCATCCTAGACCAGCAATATGACTACCGCCTTTGGATTATGAATCTTTTTTTACAACTGAACTTAACCTGTTGTACAGAAGTTTATAGGTTGCATTGTTTTATTCACATTCTACCAATTCAATATAAAATAACCAGTTCAATTGGGAAAACCTGGTCCGGATCCAGACCAGAAAATCCTTGGTGACTCGGGAAAACCTTGTTTGGCATGTTTTCCCCCCCAAAAAATAGTATTATTAGCTTATTTTATCCCAAACTATCATCAAATTCATAAATCTATCATATTCTTTCACTTTTATAAAAAAAAGACTCAAAAAACTTCACCTTTTTCAAAAATTATGTTTTCTTCTTTGTTTTTTTTTTTTCAAAATTACAAATTTTATCAATACAAATAAGATATAAGCAATAAAAGTTTGTAAACTTAAAACTAGAAAGAAGTGAAAAATATGAAATATAAATATGATTCTATTTTTAAGTTTTACTAATTCATCTATTAAAAGTGTAATTGTGAGAAAAATTGAAGTTCGGGTCTTTTTTTTTAATAAAAGTATGGGATAACTTTGTGAATTTGACGATAGTTGAGGATATGTTTAGCTAATAATCTCCCAAAAAAATATAATATTTTTTATTTTGCGTATTTTTAATCTAATAAATTACAATCCCAGCAAATCAACTAATGACAAATCCCAGCAAATCAACTAACGACAATATCAATAGGGGACAATCAAGGGACAACACATTTACAAATCAGCTAACTATTTATGTAATCACTAATCAACTAATCATTTATCAGCAATCAAGTAATCAACTAATCCTTTACTCCGTATCATTTATCAATTGCAATGAAAGTACGAATCAATACAGTAATCAATCGTAGAGTTAAAGAGGGTTAAGAGGCGTACGGAGTACTTGGAAGGAAGGAAGGAGCTGCGCGCTAGATAGAAATATGAATCGGAGGCAGCCGTGCGGGCGGCTTTGGCGACTTGGGAGTTGGCTTCGCCGAAGTCGATGTCTTAGATGAGCGAGTGCCCGGCGGTTTCTTTCCAGGGTTCCTAAAATCCCGAGTCAAAGACTCAAAAGTCCTCTAATCTGAATTACTCCTGTTTTAGATTAGATGTCCGGATTAGACTATCACGGAATAGTTAGCAAAAATTATACGGAATAATACTCCACTTTCCTTATCTTGAGCGGGATAAATCCGCCTACTCATAACTTTTTTTATTGCAAAAATTGTTTTTTGCGTTTGTCAATTTAGGATGTTTTTACTTGGACTGTAATTTGCTGGTCTGGTCTGGTCTGGTCTGATCTGGTCTGGTCTGGTTTGAACTGGTCTGGTCTGGTCTGGTAAGGTCTGGTTTCTTTGTATTTTTATAACTATCCAAGTCTGGTCTGGTCTGGTCTGGTCTGAACTGGTCTGGTCTGGACTGGTCTAGTCTGGTCTGGTCTGGTCTGGGGCAAATTACAGTCCAAGTAAAAACATCCTTAATATACTCCGTAGTACATTTATCCTACGCTAAAGTCATGGTCAAAGTATTATACACAATCATATGATTATATATTCAAGACCGTCTTTTAAGAGGTGCTTGACACCGGGGCCTAATCTGGTAGAGGGTCTCCAAAAATTTAGAATGTAATTTTAGATATAAGTCAAATTTTTTAGATGTTATGTATTATTTAAGATTCCAAAAGGTATATAAATTTAAATTCTCTATTTTTGGGCTTCAAACATCATAAAACTTATATTTCATTGAATTGTCTAGTCTATTTGTATTTCATTGTTAAAGTTTTTCTTTTCTTGTCTTAGGGGCCTCAATTTGCAATTCGGAACCGGGGCCTCTAAATTCATTAGACGGCCATGTATATATTGATAGAAAATCATTAAATTTCATCTAAGTAGTATATAGTAATTTGATTATACTCCGTCCTGAAAAAGTTCGTCATATTAATTTTTCTTGATCAATGATCACAAATTTCAGACAATGATTTTAATTATTGTATTTGTATATAATTCGAAAATTTTATACTTTTATGAAAATGTTTTGAATAACAAAAATTTTGATATAATTTGTAAATTCAAAATAACTTCATATAAAAAATATCATTGATCAAAAATGATTATCATTGACAAAAAAAACATTTGACGAACCTTTTCAAGACAAATGAGGTATATTTTATATTAATTTGTTTATTAATGTGAATTTAACGATACTTTAACATTGATTTTCCGTTAAGATTAAGAAATTTACATTGAGGAGTACATTATAATTTGATTATATATATAATAGAAAATCATGATCAAAATGAAGGTACTAAGGCGTGTGTAGTGCAAAATTCAAAATTTACAAGTACTTCGTACTCCCTCCGTTCTTTATTATATGTCCTCTTAGGCTTTGGCACGGGTTTTAAGAGGAAAATAGTAGGGGTAGTGTAAAAGGTGTAATGAGTAGTGGGTAAATGAAAAAGTAGGAAAGAGAAAGGGGTAATGGTAATAAAAGTGGGGGTATAAAGGTATATTTAAAGTAAAAACTTTCCTTAAATGGAAAGGAGGACAAATAAAAAAAACGTCCCAAAAAGGAAAGAAGGACTTTTATTAAAGAACGGAGGGAGTATTAAAGAACGGAGGAGGTATTATATTACTAAGCAAAATATTGGGTCTACTTTTTCATTTTTTGGGCCTGTGCCCCCCATCGTCCTGTCCCCCTAAGGCCCTAAGGCAACACACTGGTTTAGTAAATAATTGCAATATATTTTATTAATTAAATAAAAAACAATCTTATGAAAAATAGTTAAAATGGTAATCTAAAGTAATTTCAATCAATTCAGCCAAAAAATTAATCTAACCTTACTTATTTTTATTATGACACAATTGAACGCGCTAAATCAAAAAATACGTGTTTGGTGAAAAAGTTGGCAGATTAACTGAAAAATAGGACAACCAAACAGACTCTTAGTAGATTTATAGACCGTTAATTTTTGGGAAATTGCTCTAAATAGGAGTAGACATGTTTAATAATTTCAAAATAGGACCGTTATAGTTTTCTTCCCGAAATATGAGTCGTTGCTGTCATGATTGGAAAATAATGTTATGATAGAAATATACTACTATTAATGATAGTAAATATTGTCATGTTTAATACATGACACTGTCAACTATTTGAAAATAATGACTACAAGATGACAGTAAATACAGTTATGTTACTTCTATTTAAGAGGGTAAATATAGCAATTCTATTTTGAAATTTCAAAACATGTTTAATTCTATTTTGGAAATTTTCCCTTAATTTTTCTTCTTCATTGCTACCATTTTTTCTTTGAAATGTTAATTTGCTATTCTTGCTATATATTCTCACGTCAAAAATGTCATGCACGTCCCACCTAACTAAAAGGTATAGCATTCCTTTAGAAGAGCTTTTATTAAGGATGTTTTCAATCAATAATCATCTTTTTAGTCAATGATAGGAGCAATCTTATTTGGTTATTTTAAGCTATTTTGAAGTATAACGAAAATTGTTTACAAAAATGTGACTAGTGACTAGTGCAATATAATGGAATCATAGTAACTTATATTCAATTTTTAAACTCAACTTAGCATGACATTACATTGTAATAACTATTAGTCATATTTGTGTAAATAAATTTTATTTTAGTAATATTTTATAAAAAGCCTGACTGAATAAGTTATTTATGTTTTTAATGGTAAAAACTCAAATATCATTAATTAATTCATTGTGTAATACTACGTACATGAACAATAAATAAAGGATTAATTAAATAAATTATTTATATTTAGTTGGTAGAATGTAAAACGTATGAATAGTGAATACATGAATTTCATGATCGAACGAACAATTCTCTAAAAGAATGTAAATTGAGTTTTGATTTAATGGAAAGAGATAAATTTCACCCTTTGTGTACGCTTTACTGCTGCAACAAATGAAAGGTGGACATCACAGCAGATTATTACTACCAGATTTTAATTTCCAGGCTATACCGACCTTTGAATGAATGTCTTTTTGCTACCCATTGATTTATGTAAGGAGATCGAGGTTATCATGAATGATTTTTGGTGGAAAGGAAAAGGAGGGACGAGCATTTGTTGGAAGGATTGGACCTCGATAAGCAAACCGAAAGGATGTGGCGGCCTGGGTTTCAAGAGACTTCGGGAGTTTAATTTAGCCATGTTGACTAAACAAGCTTGGCGTCTTTTTCAACTATCCCGATTCTCTTGTTGGTAAAGTTTACAAAGCCCATTGTTTTCCCAAGGGTGACTTCTTGTCGGCTAAAGTTAGAAATAATCCTTCTTTTATTTGGAGGAGTTTAATCCAGACACAAGATGTTATTCGGGAGGGTTTCAAATGGCGAGTTGGAGACGGGAAGTCAATTAATATTTGGAAAGACCCGTGGTTACCCGACCGGGAAAATCCTATGGTTACGACGGAGCAGGTAGCAGGCCTTGAACAAGCTAATGTGGCATCATTACTTAATGTGGAAAATCCTATGGTTACGACGGAGTTACTCATGGATATTTTTGACAGCCGTGATGTCTCATCAATTCGGAACATTCCTATCAGTACAAGACATGTTCCAGATATTCGGCAATGGAGATGGGAGGAGAATGGTCATTTCTCAGTTCAGAGTTGTTATAGGAAAATGGTTAGGGAGTTTAATTCCCCTGACTGGACGGGCTGGACTTCAATGTGGTCCTGGAAACTTCCTCCTAAACTTAAAATCTTTTTTTTTGGCAGGTGTGTAATGGATGCTTACCCACGAAAGATATCCTTAGAGCGAGACGAGCAAACTGTCCAGCGAGTTGCGGATTGTGTGGCAGCGAGGAAGAATCTATCCTCCACATTTTCCATACCTGTTCTGTTGTAAAGGAGGCTTGGGCGGCTGTCCCTTGGAGCCGGTCTCGCGATGTTGCAGGCAGTTTCATGGAGCTGGTGCACAAGGATTTTGAAGCAAGAAGAAGGGGGAGCTCGAAAAACTAATCTGGGGTTGTTGGGCATTATGGTGTGAACGTAACCAAAGTATTTGGCAAAATTCTTTTTTGAGTGCAGGTCAATTTATGATGAAATTAAAGCTCAATCCTTTGTCGTGGGATGGTCTCAAGCTCAAACTGAACGCCGAGGAAGAAAGCAGCAGTCACCAGCTAGTTTATTCATGGAGCAAACCTGCAGTGGGACGGCATAAGATGAATACAGATGTTGTGGTACGAGCAGATGGATGTGCGCTCGGCCTCGGCTGGTGCCTTCGTGATGAGGCCGGAGCTTTCTTGGCCGGGGTAGCGATACCTTGGGAGGCTCTTAGTTTTCTTCAGGGGACGGATTGGAAGGTGGTGGACATTGAATCGGATGCATGCCACGCTATTTCGGAAATGTAGAAGGGATCCCGTTCCTCGTGTGGTTTGATTGCTGGCGACATAAGAGAAATAGCGAATATTTTTTCTAGTATTTCTTTCTCTCATATTAGGCGGTCAGTGAACAAGACAACTCATATGATTGCTAGAACTGCCTGTTTTTTTGTCTGATTCGCGGTCTTGGTTATTTGACTACCCCGATTTTCTATCTTCTGTACTGCTTAATTAATGAAAGCTAGACATCTTCTTTGCAAAAAAAAAACAGTTTACTATAGGTGCGGCGGGTAAGAATGAGGAAATTAAATCTATCCCAAAATTTTGATTTTCGGGAGTCGGGACCAAGTTGTAGGTTGATATTATAACCGAACTAAGAAAATTCATTGACAAGAATGCCAATCACTAAAGTTCAAAACTGTCATCCGACTATTCACCATGGCAAAGGTAAAACTGTGTGCACAACATAGTTTGTGGCCACTATATGCAGTCTCTCATTACTCATGCTCATGAGCATTACAACAAATGAACTTCACGTGCTAAGGAATAACCAGGCAGGCTCTCCACACCTGGGGTTACTATGTAGTTCTTGAAGATTAATAGAGAATCAAGAGATGACATGATAAAAGTTTCAGAATCACATTGACTGAGATATGGGGTTCTTGGAATGTGAGACAATGGCACCCCCCTCTAACTCTTCTTCCATAAGCAGCCTAGAAGTAGGTGTAAACTTCATGTCCAGTGAGTGTTCAACTTCTTCCAGTTCCAATCGTCTTACATAAAAATAATTTCTGCCTGCATCTATGGTCCTACCAATAAATTCTGGTCTTGACATGAACTCCTTCATGCTGCATATGAAGTCCAAATGCCCTCTTGCCTGAAGAGGAAGAAAGATTTTGAGCTAAAGATATCAATCTTAAGCAATAGGCATAAGGATATCAAACAAATGAATAAGCACCAGTTTCCCATAAACAAATGGAAAACGGAAACAAATGAGTAAAATTAAGCCCCCTTGTTTGGTTAGGGGATTTTGGAGATCCAGGAGGGAAAAGTTAGTCTGGATGTTATTAACTTATTACTGATGTTATCATATGCGAGCCATGAACCACATTAACTAAAATGTAACTGAATTGGTAGCAAAAAGAACAATTACTTATGAAACTCATAAGGAAAAGTTAGCATGGATGTAATCACACACCTGTCTATAGTCAGGGGCTCGTTTTGGAAGCTTGAGGTAAGCCATGTTATGTATTGCATAATCCCACAGAAAAGATGTATGATGAATCCACCTATTTTTTGTGATCGACTATGCATTTCCACCAAACTTGTGGCTGCCAAATACATAATCTGAAGAACCGAATGAAATGATATAAGTGCGGCTGTTTTATGTAAATGGATTGACTTGAGTGAAAAAATATCTGACAAAACTTAACTATTGCGTAATATTCCCTCCGTCCCACTATACTTTGCAAAATGTTGCTTATTTGATTGTCCCAAAAACTTTGTCACACTCTTTTTAATGTAATTAATTTGTTGCTAATATTATTTCTTTCTCCTTTACTCCTTTAAACAAACCTTGATTACATTTCTTTAACTTTATTATTCCATGTGCCAGTCAATGTTGGCCAAAATTTAAGGGATAGATGGAGTCTTTTAAAGAAAATGCCTATGTGGGACTACACAGTTTTTTTATATTGACCAATGTGGTGATGCATGTATCATATACTCCATCTTTCCCAACATAAAGTTTGTGGTCTGACTTGGCACGGCTATATAAAGAGCAGTAAATTGTATGGTTTGATTTATTAGAGGTTAGATAAAAAGTATGAATCACAGAGTTCATGACTTAAAAGGAAACATGAACCTAATTTTGGGATGATTAGGGAGTCTTGGTGCACCGGTTAGGGTGTTGCCGTGTGACCAATAGGTCATAGGTTGAAGTCTAGGAAGCAGCCAGTTGTAAAACATTTGACAGGGGAATGCTTGCCCCTTATACACTGTTGTGGTGGGACCTTCTCCGGACCATCCCCTTGCAGAGATGACTTCGTGCACCAGGCTGCCCTTTTTTTAAGAATAGGATAACACAAAAACTTTTTTTTATGGAGCGAGAACAATAGATAGTATTATACCCACCATTTTCACGAAGAGCAAACTCTCGTATTCCTTGAAACACGTCTCCATACAATAAGCTGCTCCAGCTCATGATAGGTTGAGGGTAAGGTTTCACTCCGGGAACAGCATCCTTATTGCATATGAAGGTAGCAAATATAGTCCCATGATCAACAATTACAGTGCCTCCACCAGTGAACCTTTTGATGACTGGAACCTTATCTTGTAAAACAGAATTAACTTCAATAAGTTCATTAGGCTTCCTGTCAAAAACGTTTATTTATCATCTTAGAAGCAGTTGTACAGTTGTTCATTAACTTCTTGTACAGTTGTACTGTTTTGAAACCAGTCAAACTTAGAAGCATATCCTTTGATCTAAACCAAGTAAAACAGTTGACCAGCAGCAGACTAAAGTAACTCATAGAGCATGATCCATACATAGCATTTGAGAGCAATAATTTGAAGGATACAAATTTATACTCGTAGAAATGCATTGATTCCAATGACAGTGATGATATATATAATCAGGACTAAAGAGGAATAACTTCACAAATCCAAGCCTACATTAATTCTTGGATCACAACCAAACTAAGATTGTGTGGTGCAATATGGATTTTTTTAGACATCCACACCTGCAGTAACTAAATGAACATCTGAAAGGCACTTACAAAAACAGTCCCTTTATTCCTTCTCACACATGTAGCCATTTTTATTCGGGATAAGGCTCAAATTGGACACTATGGTTTCATCAGAATCTCATATTTGACACTAAGGTTTCAAATGAATCAAATTAGACATTATGGTTTCATATGTATCTCATATTGGACACTAAAGTTTCATAATTCATAGGTTTTAGACACTCACTTATATTGGATAAAGATCAAATTGGACACTCACTTATATTGAATTATGAAAGTTTAGTGTCCAATATGAGATACATATGAAACCATAGTGTCTAATTTGGTCCATTTAAAATCTTAGTGTCAAATATGAGATTCTGATGAAAGCATAGTGTCCAATTTGAACCTTATCCCTTTTTATTCTAACAACTCTATTTTCAGTGGCTTAGTTCTTTTCAGATTCTTACTTTCATGTTCAGGAGACGATAGTATGTAAACTAACCTAACATGAATTCACACCAATTCCGCACATTGACTCAATATTACCAATGAGCTAGCATCTACATAGAACAACACAAGGCAGTATATGGGATTCCCCCAGTATCTCCCCCGATAGAGATAGACCCCCGTTTCACCTAGATAAATGACAGGAACCGTCCAAATTTTGGAACGTGTAATGACAAGGACAGACTATTGGGGAGATTTTAATACTAATCCTTAGTATGGTTGGCTTGGTTGGACTCAAAAAGTGAAGTATTCAGGCTCCGTTTAAGAAAAAGAACAACAGTAAGATAGATTTCCAATTATACCAAAACTGATTCCTATACTTTAAAAAAGTAAATTATATACACTCTTCTTTGCATAATATATTCAGAGAAATACACTCTTCTTGTGAGGCGAGAATAAAATTTCTAACCAGCTTACCCAGAAACACCCATAACTACAGTGGGTTGATCTGTCCCATCATTAATAATACACCAATTGTCAGATGAAGTCCTTAACAACCGTTCCTCTAAACACAATTGTTCCAAAATGGGTACACCTTGTAGCCTCACAAGATTCATCAATGGAAGCTGATGGATTGTGTTTTGAAATAGAGCCATAGTAAAATTGGGGTACCGCTTGGTTTAGAGCTAAGCTAAATTCGGCCTTTCCCTTGAATTTCTCCAAAACAGCCTAAAACTTCTAGAGTAGTGGCATGCCCTTTGTTCTTGCAACTTTAAGGCGAGCTTTGAGGAACCCAAAACCGGTCATGTTGACTTGAAAGCCTAGGAGCAGGTAATATATAATGAGCTTAATTTAGAAAACAAAACTTTTTATGTAAACTAACATGCACAATAATAATATTTCAAGACTTTTATACTCATTAAATTAAACAACGTAGAATCACCGTTACAAAAAAAAAATGAAGAAAATAATGAAAAATTACTTAATATACATTGCTTGCTGAGTATTGCGAAATAAAATCATCAACAATACCTTCATACTCAAGCTTTTCTAACACATTATAATTCAAAATTTTTACCAAACAAATTAACACTAATAAAAATCCAGATTTAATTACATAACAGAAAAGTGAACTGACCATTTAACATTCAAGAACTGAGGAACTATGAAATAATCACTTAAAATATAGGCTGAACCGCAACATCAACAAATCAACTAACTCAGTATTCAACAAATCAATTAATTAAGAAATCAACTAACAACTAAGGCTGAAAGCAGAACAAATAAACATAAATCAATCAACAATTATGAATATGATATTATGATTATATGAACTAATCAACTAAGCATTTATCAACAACTATGAAGCAATCGATAAAGGAGTTAGATAGTGTTAGATGAGTACATAATTCCATAACTCCCAGAAGGTGATAAGGGCCGAACACAAACCGCAGGGCCTGGGACTAGAAGCGGAAGAAGAAAGGCTGAAGCCAGGCGGCAGGCATCAAGGCGTGCAGCGCACCGGAAGGCTGAGCACTGAGAATGGGCAGCAGGCGGCCAAGCGTCGCTGTGTCGGTGACTTGCCGATAAGTCGATCCTCTATGCTCGGGTGTGTTTCCAAGTCCTGGACTCCTAGCTTCTGAACGGAATTGTTCAAAATTCTGAATCGTTTTACTCCGGTAGTTGCAACACTTATTCCCAGCAATTTCAAAATAGTTACTCCGTACAATGTTTCTAATATTCCCTTGGGAAAACTATCAAATAGGTCCCTGTACTATATCAAAAAAGTCAATTAAGTCCTCTTACTATGAAATCAGTCAATCAAATCCTCCAACTATAAAAAAAACATCCAATTTGGATTTTTAGCCGGTTGCTTATAAAGTCAACCGCCAAATCCCGGTAATTGCTGAGTCAGATATCCGATGGCTTTTTTTGCTTTTTCCTTACTTTCTTCTACCGTGCTCCACTAGGACACGCCCGCAAGTCTGCTCAACCCCTCTTTCTTTTTTTCCTTTCTTTCTTCTCTTCCCTGGACTTTTTTTCTTCGGCCAAACTACCAACCGGCAAACCCAGAACGGCAAGACCCCATTTTCTTCCTTCCTTCTTTAAACCCACCCAACTCACAACACCTTAGCTTGACTTTCTTCTATGGACGACGGGCTGCGGCGGTGCATTAACACAGAGACAAGCTCGTCGGTAAACTTGGGGATTTTGATGGAGGAGTTCAACAACCTCCGATGTAATATGGTGCCCAAGACCTCCGACAACTTTGCAGCAACCATCCCCTCTTTTTCCGGCGACATTGCTGTCATTGCAGCAGCAACCACACCGTCGTCATTTTTTCAGCAACAAATAGATTCAGACTATTGGAGAAGCAAAAGACCGAAGAGTGGTGAGTTTGTTCTTAACGTGGTTGGCGTGCTCACATCGGAGGACAAATCTGCTGCAGCACATGGCACATGCCGTCTCTTGCAACACCTTGTGCTCCTTTGTACTCGCTGAAGGTGTGAAGATGAAGAATGACAAGCTTCAATTCTTTTGATTGGATGTTTTGGAAGAGAGAAAGATGGAAGGAGGCAGTAGAGAAATAGAAACGGAAGTTGCAGTTGGAGTTGTGCTGAAGAAGACAGTCAAGGGAAAGAGAAGCCAAAAAAGAAAACAAACAAAAAAAGAAAAAATATAAAATTTGCCACGTAGGTTTGCCACATGTGTAAAATAACCTGTCAACCGGTTGTTTATAGGTTAAAATACTGAATTGAGTGTTTTTTAATAGTTAGAGGATTTAATTGAGTGATTTAATAGTAGAAGGACTTAGTTGACTTTTTCAATATAGTACAGGGACCTATTTGATAGTTTTCCCTATTCCCTTTTATTAAAATTTGGACATTTATTTTAGTTACTATTCCGCATATCATTTGACAAAGAATGGTTTTATATAATTTTATTTTATACTCTCACACGAATGAAGGTATTTCATATTAAATTCATTAATCAAAGATTCAAAATCAACCATTATTAACCAAGACAAGTATGGACAAATTTAATACTGTCACACAAATGAATGTATGAGAACAAAATTTGTTTGTGCAATCTATTACTACGTACTATTTACTACCTACGTTACTACGTAGCATGAAGTTTGCAGATGAATATCTTCCCAAAAAGTTGTGTGGCCTATATGACACGGTGTCATGATACGATCCGATGAGTACAAAAAGTCTACACCAAAGTGTGCACCCATATTTTTTCCCAAAAAAAGTAATGATGCTTATTAATAAATCATTTGAAAAGTAAAATCTAAGGGGTCAATCCTGAAATAAATTAAACACCAGATAGATTCATAATTCATATGATCATTTTTGGTAGTACGAAAAATAAGTACAGGGAAAACAAAGCCACACGTGACCAATACAAGATTTCTTCAATTATTACAATGTAACAAAATAATTTTAAATAAATTCCCCAGCAACAAAGAGTAACAAGATTTTCAGAGGTTACATAGTATACTGAGAACGATTCAGCTCAATTCAAAGGGGAAAATAAATTCAAAGAATTCCAAAAAAAGGAAAGAAGAATGATCGACTTTTCCCTGGATGTTAAAACACATGGTGTCAGCCTATGAACAATTCTTCATTATATTATAGAGTTGATGCATTATATGTTGTTGAATCATGAGGATGTAATGTTGCTTTGGCTGGAAGAGGCATCATCAGCACAGTTTAAAAGAAGAGACCCTCTCCTGTTACTGATATCAAGACTCTGAAAATTACCAGCTAGAGGATCTTGCTGCTGCTGCTGCCCCATCATTGTATCTCGTAGACTTTGAATCACTGCTGCTGGGTAATAAGGAGCCGCTGATGACTGTGAAAAGTAGGCTGCAGACTGATTGTATGGATAATGGTTGTGCATTCCAAAACCATATGTGTCGGGAGATGATGAGGATGATGACGATGCTGTTATTGGATCTGCAGTGGCAATCTTGAGCCTTTCGACCTCATGCTTCAGTGCTTCATTCAGAGCTGTTTTTCATTTTTTTGGGATCATGACAGCAAAGGAAAACAAATTAAAGGACATACTCGGTCTTCCCAAGAGTGATCCAAGAACAAAGAATGGGATAGTCGGAATAACTTCAAACTCAAATAATCCTACATTGGTTAAAATAACTGCGAATATGTCCATTAGTCGGGTTTAAAATGGGCTAATTATGTGGGTAGATCACAACTGCAAATGAATGATGAAAGATGATGCTTGTGTGTATGAGGGGCATCAAAAGGGCATACAAATGGCCATTAAATTCTAAATAAAGCTTCACCCAATTATTAGAAGACTCTCCATTGACATTCTTGTGGGCTGAGTTGAACTTTAAAAATGATGTTGACCTATTTCTAGGGGGCCTTTTACCTCTTTTTTTACCCGCTAAATCCAATAAAGAATACAAAAAGCACCACCAGAGTAAGTTTATCTTAATCTGCCTAATTAGAGGACCCGCCAGTGCACTACAAAAATGCTTGCAAGAACAAAAAGCAATTGAAAAGGCATGCTTTGATAGCTAGGCACGTACCATCATGCAACTGAGCCTGTTGCTCCATGGCTTGCAAACGAAGCTTAAGCTCTGTATTCTCATGTGAAAGTCCTGTTGTGTCCCTCTATAGAAGTAGCAGACCAAACAAAACAAGAGTCAACTGTGAATGTTGGACCATCGAGACAGATAAGTTAGGTTTGTGTGTTTGAACATGGTATCATGCTTCATGGCTTAATAGATAATAGTAGACCAACCATGAAATTCATATGCTTGTTATGAAAATAAGAAGGATTGAATTGCTCATCTGAACATCACAGATTCTGCTACGATATTAAATTTCATACTAAAAGTTCAACTTGATATGAGGAGTGACACATAACCTAATAGGTTAGTTAATGCTTTTTCTTAGGTCGAAATGGAATGATTTAACAAACCATTGATTCAATATAAAAAAAACTACAGCTCTCACTCTCAAATAAACTTCACTCTTTTTTGTTACGTGTCCTAATATAACAAACTCCATTCTTTTTTGTTAGCGACCCCAAAATCTTTTGGGAATATGGCTTGGATGTTGTTGTTGTTGTAGTTGTGTGTCCTGATATGAATTCTTTTTTCCTATCAAGTCGAAAGGGATAATAATAATGGGAAGTAGGAAGTACTCCGTAACATAATTCAAAAAGCTAATCTAAACAGGTAGAGCATTTTAGTACAATGCCAACCTGGTAAAGAGAAAGTTGTGCTGAAAGAGTGGTCGCCTCTGTTTGAAGGGTCAGAACTTTTCTCTCTAATTCAGTCATATATCGCGCTTTCCTCTCTTTTGATCTGGAAGCTGACTGCCTATTCGCCAGGATTCTAATACATACAGAATATATAAATCAGTAAAATACTATGTATAAAGCATTTTTTTTAATTCACTAGAGGATATATGGAAGGAGATGGGGTTTAATCAAATTACCTTTTGGCTCGCTTGGGGTCAATGGACCAGAGCTCAGCCAGCTTATCAGGGGCCATGGCTTTCTTAGTCTCAATAACACTTTCACTAAACACCAAACCGGAGCTATCCACCGAGTTGCTATGCCTGTGGCGCGGCCGGTTAAGTGATCCCTCTTCCGGTTCAGCCATGGATCCGACTCCGCCAAGCTTCTCGATGTCCATGAAAGAGGAGAAGAGATCCTCCTCTGAACCGATTTCCTCGAAGCTCCCAGTCGGGGCGGATTCGAACGGATCGGACCCCAGATCCAGATCCTCCGGCAGACGGAAGTTTACTTCTGAGTGGGCTCTCCGGTGGTGCGGCGGCCATGATGCGGTCGGAAGCTGCGCCGTTTCGCTCGTGTTCAGGTTTGTCTTTGGCGGATCTTGCATTTCTGATGAGTTCTCCGCAGAAGAAAGATTAGAGCAGAATGAGAAGATAAACTGAGTCTGCCTTCAACAGTTCTTCAGCTTCTAGCCTGCTAGGTAGTTAGTTAACTACACTACAATGGCAGTTAACTGTTGGTAGTATATTTAAAGAATCATTACTATGTATTAATTTGATGGTGTAGATCAGATTATCAGATGGAGAGAGTCTTTTTGCCTTTCTTTTTATTTTAATTCTTTTATTATAATCCCGTCTTTTTTGACAAAATTTCATAACCTGCTATGTATTCATTTTAATCTTGAATTTGGATGAGATCCGAACTTATAATCTCTCGTCTTTTGTTAACTTTTCTGTTTTATTTGTCACAATAACTTTAACGTTTCATTTTTAAATAATTGTGATTATATTTATTTTCTTTCTTGTTTGTACAATTCTCAATTATACAATTTTTATTTTTCTTATTTGACGTTTGACGCAAATTTGACAATATCCAATGCAATGGAAGTAATATTTGCTTGGATCGAATCTGATCTATTCAATCATACTCCTACTAAATTATTAAATCAAAAAATCATACAAGATATGAAAAACAAAAAGCGGTGCAAATTACCTAATGGGATAGTACGGGTGATTTCTATAAACACAGGAAAAGGCAACACCAAGGGTCAAAACACGGGACTTTTCCAAGGGTTTCTAGGATCACGTGCAGGGCCAAACGTACATTTGAGGCAAAGAGGCAATGGTTTCAGGCCCACGATTTTGGGAAAAAAGTTAGGGCCCAAAAACATATGACTTTCCTTTATATATATACTCATAAGTCATAACTAGTAGGCCCAATTTGAATTTGCAACTTCCCAAATTTCAACTTCAAGTTTTGAAGAGTTCTCCGGTCTAGAAGAGTTGAAGACATTAATTCATTCTTTTCCAGAATATAATCTCATTATTCTAGGTAAGTAACTAAGTATATATGTTTTAATGTTTATTATTTTATGGTGCTTAAGGGCTTTATTATACTATTCGACTCAGACCAAAAAATCCTAGGGTCGCCCTTGAGCTCGTGAGTTGGAAAATGGCATTTACGGAGGAGTAAATGCATAAATGGTACCTCAACTATTGGCAATGTTGCATTTTGATATCTTAACTCTTAAATGAATCAAAATGGTACCATAACTATACACAAATGTTTCGAATTGAGATTTTATTCAAATTTTCGACCAAACACTACTAGAAAAACGGTCTACGGTGACACTAAATTAGTGTCACAGAAAGTTTTTCTGACACTAGAAAAGTGTCATAGAAGGTCGGGAATTGTGACACTAAATTCAGTGTCACTGATAAGTGTCACTAATTTATGACACTTTAGTATCAATGAAATTTATGATACATTGGTATCACTTTATAATTTGACACATTAGTATCAATTAAATTTATGATACTTTGGTATCACATAATGTTCATGACATATAAAGTTATATTTTATATATACATACAAAAACACGAAATATAAGATTATTAAAATATAAATATGACTATGAAAAATAAAAAGTACTTCTTTATTTAAAAAAAAGAATTGTCATTTACAATTCGAATGCCATACGCATTACTACGTTACAAAGTCAACTAAATATGTAATAAACTAATTTGAGATCCTCCAACTACTATAAGCTCCACCTATGACTAAGTCGGTTGATCTTCAACATGAGAGCATAATGTTGTCTACTTGTTTTGTGGCTTTTCAATATCTGAAAGAAATAAATTCAAGATACATTACACAGCGACAATGAATAATGTGAATTAACACAAAGAATGAGGCTCTACGAAAAGCAGTTAATTCAAATAACACAAAGAAAAAAAGCTTCAAATAAACACTATTAGAATCAAGCTTTAAAAAGTTAATGGTTTCATAAGATCAACGTGCAGAAGCATAGTCATTCAAAAGACCCCCTAAAAGCTTCAGCATTGCTTTGAATGTTAACTATATTTGCCTATATTGACACACACACACACATTATGGAACCAAATAATTGCAAATATACCTCCACCCTTTAAAAATATATATGAGAAAAAAGGACCTGCAACTACCTTTTATTCCACTCTAAGATAGAGAAATAAGAGATAACATAATTTAATAGGACTCTTTCATGCTATGAAATAAAATGAATACAATAAATGGAGAGATGCCAGTGAGTGGGGGAGGGAGAGTGGGGGAGGGAGAGAGAACATATTCAGTAAATCAGGATTAGACCACTTGATATCATATGAAGTGTTTTCTCTAACGGATCCATTTTGTAACGTTGTGAACCAATACGAAAGATCCGCTCTCATGTGAATTGTGCAGATACAATTACATAAACATTCACCAAATAACATCCAAAGTGCACATTAACAAAAATGGGAAGAGAAAAAGTATTAGCATGCAAAGAAGAACAAGTTGCAAGCAATACACACATGTGGAAATAACATCAATATGTATGACCTATGATATAAAAGTACTTTTGCTATAGCAAGTAATTATATATGAACAGAACTTAACATGCCCGTAACTATTTCATCTTAAATCTAACAGTTGAGATTTGGTCTCTATGAATGAGTAATTTCCTGGATATATATATATATATATATATATATATATATACACACACATGTCAGAACAACAATTGAAGGCACCACTACGTGGAAGAAGCTTAACTTTATAAGACTTACGGGAAACACTATTTCTGCTCTTTGAATTAGCAGTGGCAATATTGCTTTGTCCCTTTTTCCTCTTCTCTGCAGCAGCAACAAATAATGTAACTTCTCGTGGATAGTTTGAGAAGAAACTATAATGTGAGTTTTAAACAACTAGAAGTAGAAAACAACTTCTTTGGCGTCTTCAATACCCATTTAAAAATGCCTTAGATAATGCTGCTAGCCAACCTGATCAGCTTTTTTTTAGTTCCTCTCAATATATTTTTACTTCAAAGTTGTGCCACTAACACTTAATACTTTGAACCTTCATAAAGAATGTCTATTTGCCGATTTAGTATAAATGGTATGTTTCTTTCTTGAGAAAAGCAGCATGCGACTAAGGATGTTTTTACTTGGACGGTAATCTGTCCCAGACCAGACCAGACCAGTCCAGACCAGACCAGTTTAGACCAGACCAGACCAGACCAGACTTGGATAGTTATAAAAATACGAAGGAACCAGACGTGACCAGACCAGACCAATTCAGATCAGACCAGACCAGACCAGTTCAGATCATACCAGACCAGACCAGTTCAGATCAGACCAGCAAAGTACAAAGTACAGTCCAAGTAAAAACATCCTAAAATAGAAAAAATAGAAAACATATACTAATTTCAATACTCTAGCAGGATCACAGGATGAAAAACTAAAAGCGGTGCAAATTACCGCAAATTACCTAATGGGATAGTACGGGTGATTTCTATAAACACGGGAAAAGGCAACACCAAGTGTCAAAACACGGGACTTTTCCAAGGTTTCTAGGATCACGTGCAGGGCCAAACGTACATTTGAGGCAAAGAGGCAATGGCTTCAGGCCCACGATTTTGGGAAAAAAGCTAGGGCCCAAAAATATATGACTTTCCTTTATATATATATATATATATATATATATATATATATATATATATATATATATATATATATATATATATATATATATATATATATATATATATATATATATATATATACTCATAACTAGGTCCAATTTGAATTTGCAACTTCCCAAATTCCAACTTCAAGTTTTGAAGAGTTCTCCGGTCTAGAAGAGTCGAAGACATTAATTCATTCCTTTCCAGAATATAATCTCATTATTCTAGGTAAGTAATTAAGTATATATGTTTTTAATGTTTATTATTTTATGGTGCTAAAGGGCTTTATTATGCTATTCGACTCGGACCAAAAAAATCCTAGGGTCGCCCCTGAGCTCGTGAGTTGGAAATGGCATTTACGGAGGAGTAAATGCATAAATGGTACCTCAACTATTGGTAATGTTGCATTTTGATACCTTAACTCTTAAATGAATCAAAATGGTACCATAACTATACACAAATGTTTCGAATTGAGATTTTATTCAAATTTTCGACCAAAATATTACACGTGACAGTCAGAATTCTATGCGTAAAGTCTATTTCAACTTATTTTTGTCCATATGATCACTATAGGGTGATTCTACGCATGAATTTTTGATCGTTATGAATGACTTTTTTGTTAAAAATTTGAATAAAATCTCTTTAGACTTGATGCTAATTGGAAATGGCAATTCCGAATAGGAAATGGGATTTTTTTTTAAAACTCATTCGGATTCTCCAATTCCAGATAATTTGTTTTTTAGTTTTTGTTTTTTACTTTTTGTAAACATATACCATTCCCTAAAAAAATATACTTTGAATTAAATTTATTCAATGAAATTGTTTTTTAAATACTCTGTACTCCCTCCGTCCCAATTTGTTTTGCAAAGTCAACAATTTTTTGTCAACCAATAATAAAAGTCAACCTTCCGTATGGATAATTAATTCAATTTTTTAATAATTAAAATTTACATATTCAAAAACTACATTAAAATCTCTTCAAAGTTGTAAACTCCAAATTAGAACATAATTAAAATTGACATCCTAATTAAGTGAACAAAACGAGACTATTTGACTAAGAAAAGACAATTTTGCATCTCTTTTTGGGACTGATGTAGTTTGTAATTATTTTAATTTCTGAAAGCAACTGAAAGATAAATGTACTAAAAATTAATTTATTAATAAATGTGTACACACACAATAATAAATTCCTACAATATTTGTAGGAACATCGTCGAAGATCAAATTTTGTGGCGTTGCTATGGAGTCGTTTATAGCATCCACGAAAATTTGCAATTCTTCGTACTCATTTAAAGCGATACGAAAAAAATGACTCCATGACCGGTTATCGTGAATGGGTCGAATGACATTTGGATTGGGTTCAAGTTTTTTTACCTTTAATTTTACTCATCTGGAGTGCAATTAGGGTGGCACAGATGTCAAGGGTGGGTTGAAGAACTTGGGAAACTCAAATTCGACCAAAATGACGGTGACAGTTTTGTAAATAACCCGGTTTTTTTTTGCTACCTCGATAAAGTGCAACGAAAACGAAAAAACATGCAAGTGAAACATGAAAAAGTGCAAACCTTGCACTTTGCCTGGGAAGACCACTTTTTATTTGAACCATCCCATATATATATATATATATATATATATATATATATATATATATATATATATATATATATATATATATATATACTCCCTCCATCCCAGGGAGAAGTTCCCGGGTTGACTTTCACACATTTTAAGGAAATAAAGTTATTGAGGGGTAAATTTTACTGTTTGACACTGTTTCAACACTGTTTGGCACTGTTTTGACACTGTTTTGCACTATTTGACACTGTTTTGATGTAGGATAACTTTTCATTTAGGAAAATATGAACTTTTTGTTGGGACTGCCAAAAAAAGAAAAGTGAAAACTTCTCCCTGGAAGTCTGGGACGGAGGGAGTGTATAAACAGTGAACTCCAAATTTTTGTGAGAGGCTATTTAGATTGAAGGACTTGGGAAAGTGAAGGAAATACAGGTTTGACTTTTTATGGAAGGGATCGCTGTGGGCTCATTTATGGATAATGTGTGATCATAGTAGTGGGCAAACAAATGTTTAATTGTTGGGGACCAGTGAACTGCCCATTCATGAAATAATTGATGATTTATTTATAACAAAAAGACGTAGTAACCTAACAGGTCACCAGACTCACCATTGAATTCTCACAAAAAACTTTGCATCGGAATTTAAGGGCTATTGATATATTAATATATAATCCGTCTTTTGTCCAAAAAACTAAAAAAAAACCATTCCTGAGTGATCAGCCGAAAATATAGTCAATTTAACTATGATATCTAATTGATTCGTTATCACAATTTAATTGCTCCGACGTTTATAATTATTTTCATTCTACCTTTTATTTTTTATTCATTCCAAAATAGATTTTATACAATAAACAATATATATTTAATATTTTCCATGCATTTCTCTACTTCTTTCAATTTCACATTATTCTCAACTTGTTAATCTACGTGAGATGTCAAACTTGAGTAATTATTACGTAATGAGATTCAAGAGGATTTGTCTCTTTTGATAATCTTATATCTACGTAGGATATAATCATTTTTTACGATATAACAATTTGCAATAATTAATATATATGGAGTATGTTTGATTATTTATTTGATCGACCCTTTAGGAAGTTTGTTGTGATAGGAGAGACTATCACACTCTCAAGTAATCATTTACACCTGAAATTACACCTGAAAGATAATTTCGTGAAAAAGCAAAACTTAAGTGTGATATTATTGAGTATGTCTACCATGTGCTCGCGCGGTATGTGCTTTATTTGTGCCCATTAAAATTGTTAATTGGGCAAAGACCATAAGAAATCAATAATCAGCACTTTTGTACTCCGAAAAATCCCAACGGATTACAACTTTCCATCCATATATACATGTTACTTGTGTAGCTTTATAGAATAGCTATCCACGTTATTGCCGTCCAATATAATGAACAATGAATATCTATTCTACGGGAATAACGTTGAGCATCTGATCTGTTCTACGGGAATAACGTAAAATAGATAGTCAAATACTATAAGGCTAAAGTGTCAAATAGGTACATGAACTAACTTAAAGTGTTCAATTAGCCCCTTATATAGGACGTTCTGCCCGGCCGTTGCCAATTGGGACGGTTCCCGGTGGAATTTTTTGATGCAATTTTTTTAGCATCTTCTTCATTAAGTCTAGTTTACCCATACCAAATTTCAGCTAAAAATTCAATCGGGAAGGCAGTCAAATGATTTTTTGAAGATATCTGCGCAGTTAAACAGCGCAATACATTTCGGAAAATCATTTGACTACTTTCCGGGTTGAATTTTTAGCTGAAATTTGGTATGGGTAAACTAGACTTAATGAAGAAGATGCTCAAAAAATTTCATCGAAAAATTCAACCGGGAACCTCCCCAATTGGCGATAGCTGGGCTGAACCTCCTATATAAGGGGCTAATTGAACACTTTAAGTTAGTTCATGTACCTATTTGACCCTTTAGCCAATACTATAAAGGTAGTGTTGGGTTTACATTGCTTCAAATAAAAGTGAAAAATAAGAACTACTTTTGGCATTGATATGAAAAAATGGATGGAGGTGATCAATTTTAAATTGAAAGCGCAACGACATTTTGATAATTATGAAGAACTTTTAGTGAAAATCTTATGACAAATGTGCATCAGAATTGTACGGAGTATAAAAAATGCACATGTAGAGCATGAAACACAATACCAAAAAAAGTGCACAAATTAGAAAATTTGACAATCTTTTTAACGTCTTTGAGAGCACTTTTAATCATTCATTATCCACTTTGAAATATAAATATTCACACATTTTTTAAATCGTCTTTTGTGATTAAAGTTCATCTAATCTATCCATTTTTAAATGATTAAAGACCAAGATTTATTCTCACTTTTCATGGGCCGGAAGATCACTTTTTACTTGAAGCAACCCTCAAGTAGCGTTTGCAACATTTTTTAAAAATATTTTTCAATTGACAAAACTGACAATTTGGTCCTCATACTATAACGACAAAGTCAATGAAGTTCTCATACCATACTTAAAAATCAATCAAATTCCTAAAATTTGAAAAAATGTTCAATTGAATCCATTAGCTTGTTACTTGTCATGTCACCAAGTCACCGAATGACGTGACTTCCACATGTGCGTCATGTCAGCAAAGTCAAAGCTGAGTGGGCTACCATATATGTGGCACGTCAGCAGATGACTTGTTGATATGACGAGGAGCTGGTAATGGACTCAATGAGATGTTACTACAAAATTCGAGAATTTGATGTTTTCGTGAGCAAATTGACAGTTTTCTTTTCAATTTCTTACATTTATGAAGTAGTACTCCGTAGTAGGCCAGTAGATCTTCTATTTCAAATTAAAGAGCTTAAACCTAAAAGATGCAAAACAAAGGGCAATGTTTCTTATTGTTACTTTTGAATTGATTACACAAAAAATGATGTTTCGTCCTACAATGTAGTTTTAATTTATTATAATCTCTTGTCTTCTCAAATTTTATTCAAACTTTATCAACTTTTAGTGCTAAGCATCGTTCAATAATCTAAAAACAAATAGCTTATCAAAGGTGAAACTGTGAAAGCAAACACAAATACCCTGTGAAACCATACTAAAGTGGAAATGAAATGAGCATGGAAGAGAATCAAGAAACCAACTGATATAGGCCAAAATTTACTCAATCAAATAACATGTGTTTACAAATGTAGAAGGAAACGAAGTTTATTGAATTGCATAAAAGAAATGGTAAAAAACAATCACTAGTTATTACAGCCATGGGAGCTTGCTTGAAAGATTAGACCGAGAGTGTATTGACCAAGGAGGAGATTGTGCTGGGAGAGACCGCCCTGGTTCCACCCAAATACCATTTCTTCATCATTTCAACAACATTTGCATTGTCTACTTCAATGCCTGACTCATCCTTCTCCTCTGTTGTCAGCACAATCTGTTCGACATTATAGCCATTAAAATTATTTGTAATATAAAAGTGATACGAAAATGGTATTTGTATTATTAAAATGCATTCTTTTAAGGTAATGAATTTGTGGCTCTGATCATTTTTACTGCACAATTTAAAATGCATAAGCTTCAACTGCACAATTTTTACTATTCCAATTTCATGTTCAACATCAACTCGACAAAATTGAGTGGGATGAAGTTAGTATTATTCATATTGTTATTGTTATTATTATATTATAAGGTCTCTCAAATGTCTTTTACTTCTTTGTGAGAAATTGTTTTATGTACGAGTAATAAAGTGTGTTATAATCTAAATTTTGGAAATTAAGGAAAAGAACCTTTTCGGAGTACCTAGTTCTGAGAATCAGATTGTTATCAAACTGAACCCGGTTTTGTGCTTCAATGTAAAGTTTCTGGATGCCTAAATCTTAAATAGTAATGTTGACTTTAATATTATTGGGGATAGATTGATTTCATCGTTTATTCAATCATTGTTTAAATAAAAGAAAAAGGTCACATTTGTTTATTGCATTGAGTTCCTAATCCCCAAGGTTAGCCTTGGTCATTGTAAAATAGGTAAGGCAAAACTACCAAAACTTAATTAAATTGAGAAGCTTGGTCATCCTCTAAGAATGTGATTTGATCTAAATTATATTAATCAGTAAGATTTGGCATGAATCTTATAGTTAATGTAAACCAATCCAGAATAGGTAGGTACATGAGTAATACAGATATACACACCTTAGCTGAGGCAGTGTTAGCTGCTGGGAAAGTAAATGTGATGACAGAATTTGTCTTGAGATATTTGGACTGAAAAAATGCTTCTACTTTCTCAAGAGCAGCTTCCTCTTCCTCATCAAATTTATCAGCCTCTGCCAAAAAGTCCCTCACTCCACTCTCTAGCTGCACCCCATACTGTGACCCTTTTATTTCCTTTATCACCACCACTCTCAGTATTTTATCCACTGGGGCTGCATACAAACATGCAGTTCTCAATAACAATCATAAGGATTGATTCAAAAAAGATTAACAATAATAAGTATCAAATCCAATATATAAATATATATACCATTAATAATAGCTTCAAAGAAGTCCTCATTTTGAGAGAGGTCAGCTGGTGTTTTCCCCTTAAATTGGCTTAAATGTGACACAATTTCAGGGTCCAAATAAACTCCAATTGCTGTGTACTTTATTTGGAGGAAATGGATCTCAACATGAGTAATCCCTGTTGCATCCAATATGATAAATTGACTTTCCATTTAAGAATGTTTTCAGACTCAAACAGGATAAAAACAAACTAGACTTGAAAATTTATAAAATATATAGAGCCAAACATTTACCAAATCAGACTAGTCCAGATCGATTAGAACAGAAAATTCCAGTCCCAAAGTAAAAACATCCTAATAGTCATAATAGTGCAAGTAATACTTCTGAGTTCTAATTAATCTTTTGATTTACCGTGACCCATGAGTGAGAGCTGGTTATTGTTCAAATTGAGATGGGGTGGAAATGGGATTCCGTCCACCATCACCATTTTAGAAGCCACTGCACAAAACAATATAAAAAGTTACAGTGGAATAATGAAAAAATATGAATACCAATATAATAATAATATATCAGTTTTTTAAACAGGTCGGATTAAGAAAAAACTTACTCAGTTGATCTTAAAAAAGCAAGGGGAGGAGGAGGATAATGGTGGATTGGTAGGAAATGAAAAGGCGTGGACGATGAATTGAATGAGCTAGATACATATTTGTGCATTCGTTCGGTGATATATATTCACCAGTTTTATGTGACGTAGGTACGTGTTTATTTTGTTAGGTAGGACTTGTGAACTAAATACACCATCCTGTCATGTCACACTTATCTTTCCAAAAAACTTTTACTTTAAAACTTACGTCCCAAAAGGAAAACATTACGACAGCCCAATCTTAGCCATCTGTATGACTTAGGTGTCAACTACATAGTTAACTCCAAATGATACAACTTAAATTTTAAGAGTCCTGCTTGGGGTACCCCAATTTGTACTCCAATCTGTACACCGTCTGTGTACACAGACATTTGGACAGAAAGTTCTGCCCTCTTTCAAACGAATTGCCTGTGTACACAGACAATTCAGGGGGGTGGGTACAAAATGGGGTACATTTTGGGGTACCTCTAGAATTTTTGAAATTTTAATTATAAGTTGGCAAATAGCAGTGGCGGAGCCACCCTTTGAAGTGTGCTGTCAATTGACACCATTGATTTTTTTCTCTCTGTATATGAATATATATTTTTTAAAAAATTATAAATTGACACTACTGAAAAATAAAAATTCTGTGTATATGCATAATCTTTCATAAATTGACACCACTGACACTAAATTCTGGCTCCGTCCCTGATAAATAGTGTGTGAAGTTATAGTTGATACTTTGATTTTATGCATTTTTACATAAGGAGTACTAATTTTTCATTGCCGTAGTTGTCTCGCATTTGAGGTGTATCACTTATGTCACTTCATATCTACTAATTGAGCAATGCTCCTACGAAAAACATTACTACGTATGTTGCGCTTGTATAAAAATTCTTATTACTTCATTTCAATTTTACTATTTCAAACCAGATTAATGAGATTATCACATCACGGTGTATTAAATCATCCTTGATGATAAAAAAGTAAAGACAAATTGCTAGATTTCGAATGTCTTTTGCATGTGTGGGGTTTAGTTTTTCCGCTACCTATGCGTGCGGCCGACTTCTCCCTTGGCATGAGGATAGAGAAACTTGTTTCTTGATTTTGGATTCTCGATCAATACTTAAGGTACAACAATGACCAAGCGAAGCTCTCCATAACCGCTTTCTGTGTGCTTGGAGCAAGGCTTGTAGTCGCGACGACGCCTACACAAGTGGCCGCTTCACTTGTGGTATCATAGGCGGTGACTACTATACAACATCATTTGTTTTGGCCTTTGACCTTTTGATCTTGGAGGAAGAAGATGGAATGTTGATGATCCGGCCTCCTTGCCCCCATCGTGAAGAGCACGGGTGGTTAGGGTTTGCTTTAGTTTCATTTCAAGTTTTATATTTATTTCAATTGACTATTTAATTTTTTCCTAGATTGTTTGTGTCAGTAGGAGTATTGAGTTATCTATTTTAATTACTTATTCGTATTTTTGCCTTTTTATCATGTTTTACCCATATTATGAGCCCGTTTGACAACACTGTTATTCAAGTTATCAGACTTATCGGTCAACTTTCTCACCAAACACGTAATTTTTTATTTCACGCGCTGAAATGTTTAATAATAATAAAAAGTAAGATTGAAGTTATTTTTCTGGTTGTTTCGGCTGATGTTACTGTAGACAGAAGCAAATCATTGTGAGGGCAGGGGTGGGCCCCAACCCAGCTCAAAATTTTACGGAGTAATTTTTAATGTCCGGTCCATCCCAAAATTATTGTCCAGCCCACCTCAAAATTAAATCCTAGCCTAGCCCAAGTCTACTAACAATCTCATTACTCAACTCAGCAAAACAACAATTGCGAAGTGTGGAGAGAGGAGCGGCGAAGGGAAACCCTAGCCTCCTCCTCCTCTTCCTTCCTTCTTTTCTTTCTTTTCTTTCGACTTCAATCATGGAAAAAGTTTCGTTTAATCAGTATTTTCAGTTCTATTTATACGGTTATTTCCTAGCGTTGTCTAGAGACATTATTTTCGGTGGCAAAGTGTCGCTCGCCAGATCGATATTCCCCGCCATCATCGGTCGGGTGTTCTTGTGTGCTAGTAAGAGGTTTGTATTGACTTATGTATCAATCATGAATCAGAATTTCTCCTGCATTGATATAGAGGCCGATCGCCACCCTCCTGAACCATCGCCGATCCAGGAAGATGGCATTGAATGGATTGCTTTCTTTCTGGTGGCTGGTCAAACCGGAACAATTTCTGCACTTGGCTCCTTAGCGGTGGTTGGAAAGACCGGCAAGTTCAATAATTCCTTTTCGGTGGTTGGTCAAGCCGAACCCATTTCAAGTAGCATGAGCAGACATACTGCGGTACGAGTCTACATTGTTGCAGAGTAAGTGAACATGAGTGCTTTTATATGACGTTTTTGTTCTTTGTCTCACCCTAATGTAGTATTGAACGCTATGATTGTAATGCTTCAGTTTTTAGTTGTTATGTTTCTTGTTAAGATCTGATTATCAATAAAATGGTTATTTGATTTAAAAAAAAACAATCGCGAAGTGTGAATCGTGAAAAAGAACCTGCAACGAAGATGAAAGAGTGGAAGACCTGCGGCCACAAGCCGCTCTACCGTCTTCCGTCAAGGTCCACTGCGTCGGCGGTCGGAAATCCAGCACTCTGCACTCGGACCTCCAGCTCCAGCTGCTCCAAGCCTCCAACCTCCACACTCCAGGGTAGTCCATGTGACACCACAAAAATTTAAATAAAATAAAATAAAAATAATTTTACTAATCAAATGAATAATTGTATTAGTGAAATAATTTTTTTAAAAAAGTGACATTTTTTACTAGTGTGGATCAATGTGCATGTTTTAGAAAAGTTACACTTAATATGTGATGCAACAAAATCCGATCCTCTACACAAACTACGTTGTGTATTATTCCGTATATACTTCGTACTTGTATATAATAATAAAAATGTTGACAAGTAAAAAGGAAAACACGTGCGTATAAATAGATATGTTTAATTTACTCCATCATTCCATTTTAGTACGTATCATGCGCACACCTTTAAAAGGAACGTTTTTAACGGCAAGGAAACCCTAAAACCTAGAATCATCGGTTAGTTGTATATATATACGTCGTTCATGCCCGCCGCAGAAGAGAAACAGATGCACCTGCTATATAACTATATATACCTCACATATATCGACCTCTACGAGAAGGAGGGATCAGAACGGACGATCGTTAGCTGCTGCTCGTTAGCATCAACCGGGAACCTATTCTACCGCTGTGACGACTGGTTTACGCCGGAAGAGGACGTCGCCAGACCACCAGAGTGTTGATGGGGAACTCCGGAGTGAAGCACACCGGATGAGAGACCCAACTGCCCGGACCACCGAACTACTGGAGTCCGTCCGTCAATCGAATCAACCCCCTACTCTGTGCTACGGAGCGGCGAAGAAGACGACATGTATGTTCATCTTTCTGATTTACGTAATACGCAGTACTATTGGTTGGGCTTGATTATTTACTAAGAGACTATACTGTTATCCTATATACTCCGTATTAGATAACCTAGACCAAAACTAGATACGAAGTATATTGCTGGGCTGGCCGAACTGTAAATAATAATAATAATAATGGGATAATGATTAAACCATATGATAGTATTTGGGTAATACTCGTACTACATGAAGTAGTTATTAATTAAAAAGTTTTAATATTCTTAGAAGGTGAATTCGGAGAGAATCGTGGTAGAAGCTTCGGTTAGGACCTATCGTGGTTGGAGGTAAGTTCTACATCAACCAAAATTATACTTTTCCTCGTAAATATATATATGATTATTTATTTGAAATTATTTGAGTACTTTGTGAGATTTCTAGCATTTACATTTATACTTCGTATTTGAGTATTTAGAATTATTTATGGATTGTTATTGAGGATTATATTTGAGATTTGAGTATTGAATATTGTGTGATATTTTTTGAGTATTTGAAGTTATGTATTAATCATTATTGGGATTGAGATTTGAGCTATTTATGGAGTATTCTATATTTTAATCATGTTGGGAATTTTCGAGTTTAAAGGATCGATTAACCCTTATTTTGGAAATTTTTGTCTATGTATAATATGTGATGCATTGTTGAATGTTGAATAACTTTGGGGAAATTACGTGAGTAATAATCCCTGAATTTTTGGAAAATAATAAAGATAAAATGAACCTTTCAATGTAAGGGCATCACGGGAGAAATCCGGGATGTCGGTGTCCTCCACGACCTTGACTGTGGAGAGTGATTAGGACTGCTATTACTTGTTGGAATTTGGTGTCCACGACCTTGACTGTGGAGATTGGTGGTTGTTTATTGTATTTAAAATTCGGGCAAAAGACCCTATTATTCAGTAGTAGCAGTAACCTTGTCACGCCCCGGACCTATCCGGACACGTCGACAACCCGCCGTACGATACGAATAGTCAACCGCAGTCCAACACATTCATATTATACAAGGCGTCTTGAATATCATTCACACATATACATCCATAAACAAACATAATAAGTAATTCATAATGCAGCGGAAAACATTGTTTAAAACAAAAAGGCCACACCGGACTATTCATGAGCACGCAGGCTCCATAGTAAGATATCCATGAGCATGTTTATTAATGTTTAAAATCCGAATGGAGGAAGCACGAACCAAGTCTTCGCTCCTAGATGATCTCTCGAGCAACGAGCACAGGAAGCAAGCTCTAGCCTCAACCTGAAAAATGGTGGTGGGACGCCCCCGAAGGGGTCAGCACTCTATAGGGCTATAAAGTGCTGGTGTGGCAGGCATCTAATAGATATACAACAAGTATTTCAAACACAAGACCCTCAAATAGGGTGATAGTATATTATGATTGTAACCCTAAGTTACCCCGTTTAAAAATATACTTACTTTATATAAAAGTCAAGTAGCCGGCCCGTGGGCCCATGTTCATTTGGAAATCACCATTCCCAACCCCGTGACTAAAAGCCACGACAACTCCTAGAGTCCAACCCTAGTACATGACATTGTATTCTAGAGCTCGGCTCTACTACATCACCATACAATTCATATACCTCGGGTCAATTTCCTTACCTTGCGTTCTAGAGCTCGGCTCTATTACATCACCACGCAAGTCCTAGAGCTCGGCTCTAGCTATACAATACATAGACT